CTGGGACATCCTCCCAACGTGAAAGGCGCTATACAAATGTAATTTTGTTGTTGTTGTATCATCTACGAATCTCACAGATAAAGTATGAAACATCAGTGCCTGTCAATACAGTATTTATCAGCAGAAAAATGAGTGTTATAAATGTGCCACAATATAAATTTCCAGACTGGAGAGCGAATTGAGCCCTTACAGTGTTTAACAGTACTTAGTTAAATGTCAGGAATGGAAAAGAAAATTCCATTTGCGTCTCTAAACTTAAATCCCTTACTTTAGAGCCTATTGTTTTCCAATCCCGTAGTCAGAGTAGCAAGTTTCAAGCCAGTATTTCAGTCAAGTACTTTCTGTTTAACGGCACATTCTTTTTGGCTAATTGGACTGCAATTGGTTTCTGTAACGTTACAAAAGAAATCACTTCTCCCTGTTACTGTCCACGGCACTGTTTGTTTAAATAACACTTATGTCTGTATTGTTGCTGCAATAACATGTTGTCTGCAAGCCAGATTCCTGGCAGTGTCCATCAGCAGTGTATGGTCCCAGAGAGGCGCGTGGGTCAGTTATTCATTTACTTAAAGCGCAACAGCCTGACTTAAAGACCAAGACTAGTTTCTGTGAGGTTACTGGGGCTAAGTTAATTTAGTCACGAGATTCAATTGAAATAGAAGAAAATATTTAGTCAGTGTCTTCATTACCTTTCTATTTGATATTTAAACGCAGAATCGCCCTGACGCCACAAATATACCCGGTTGTTAGTCAATTCACGGATCGCTTTCCGGGGGTAATAATCCCTTAAAAAAGTAATAATTTGGCCACTCAATCCATGACTGTTTTTGGAACATTACTGTGTGCAATTGACTGCCGCGTTTCGTCCCCAAAATATACAGTCAATTCACTTTACAATGTATTCTGTGAAGTGCTTTGAGTTGGCTCAATGACGTGGTAAGGCATTATATCAAATGCAAGGATTATTATTATTGTAAAGATGACAATGATGGTGCCATTGTTGACTAAATTAAATCTAGTTGAAACCTATATAAAAGGAATGCTTTAGTTCAAAATCATGTTTAGTCATTAGTAATGTGTTGCCACATGATTTTGCTGAAATGTGTTGGCTATTCTCAAAATACAGGTACTCCGATTCCGGAATTTCCCCAAAATCTGGAATTTCTATGAAATCAGGAAATGGCTAAAAAGTCTACCATAAACACAATCTATACCCTTCAGTGAGACATTTGGCTATTTTTAGTTTTCTGTGTTTGATAGATCCCTGTTCATCCCCCCAGTGGCTCTGCCCATCAAATTTAATGATTAGTTTACAGAATTAGTTGGCACACACCCTGACTTTTGCTAAATAACCATTAACCCGTCACATAGTGTAATTCAACAGCAATAACAACTTGTATTTATATAGCACCCCTCACACAGGGTAGAGTCCCAGAAATGAGCCATCAGAGGAACAAAAGCGGTCAAGAAATTAGGCACAAGCAAGATTGTCTTTGGGTTAATTGAGTCCTTCTGCTGGCTTTGCTTTACAAGATAATTCATTGGCTGATCGCAGGAAACTAAATAAGCAACTTGAATTTGCACACAGTCAGGGATTTAATATTCATTGAGTATCCTGTAAGTCAGTAGCAGAGATGTATTTATGTAAAACCTAAAAAAGGACATTTATCTTGGGCCAGAAAAAAAGGTCTGAATGAATGCTAAGCTGCATTATTGTCTGGCTTCTGACACAAGCTGATAATCAGATTTCTCTGTTTAAAGCCGCAACCTCCTAACAATGCCACTCTCTGTCTGTGCCTTCTGATATTAGCGCTAATTAGAAAGAACAGAAACACAAATCTCAATGATTCAAAAATCTGTTTGTCATGGTCAGTGCGAGAAGTGGGGGTGGGGAGAGAGAGGGAGTTGTGGGGGTGGGGGGGGGGCTGGGTGCGGGGAAGAGTAGGAGATTTAACCTTATTATAACTGAAGATGACTTGACCAGCCATTGTCTGCAGAAAGATACTGAATAACTTGTATGTAGGTGAAATGGTGTGAAGGAGAGGACCGCAAATTATATTAAATGATACAGATATATTATATTTGAAAGTGTTTCTTACCATTAATTGAAACCTAAAGGGTCATTCAGATCATGTTGGGTTCCAAATGTATTCAGTCTGGTCCTTGTGTAGCAGAGGAGCTCTAATCAGCTGAGTAGCAGGCTCGGGATCAGTAAGTTCTTGGTGTGAATCTTCGTGGCTCCACAAAGCTCTTCACCCTTTTGCGGCCATAAAATGACCAGGTCTTAAAATTATCCCCTGGAAGGAGGAAAGCAATGTCTTGCTGGAGTAGGTCTTGGTCTGAGGAGACAAGGCACTGCAATTCTAGCTAAACAAGGAACATAAAACTTACCAGTGCCTCAACGTGCAAAAGCTAAGAGTGAGGCTGGTATTTCTAAGTATACCAGCAGAACAGTGGACAATCATAAAAATTGATCAAATGCCTGTGTTTTCATAGTTCTGTAGCAAATAGTCCCAATGATCATACCTAATCGAGTACTTCTGCTAGGTTGCCACAAAATGATTTGAATCAGTTTAACTGATCATATCATTGAAATCTAACTCTTTAAATCTTTGGAAAATGATCGGGCAGGTGTGTGTGTATTTGGAGAAGAGAATAGTAAACAAATGGTTCACATTTCACCCTGCAGGTGCTATTTCTGACTACTGTACTATTGATATTTTTCAGTAAAATAACATGTGACCCCAAATGTGGCAACTGTGTCATGGTGCTCAGTGTAAATACTGTAAAATACCTGAATGGAGGTGGAACACAATGCAATTTAGAAACACTGCAAATAAAACTGTGACTCTGCAGAAATCCAAAAATATTGCAGCTTTTAAGTCTTTCCCCATACCAACATAACAGGCAGACGGGACCTCAGTTTAATGACTCATCTGAAGAGCAGATAATCTCTTGAATCTTATTATTTTTCATAGTTTTTCATAGTTCATTGGCTGGTTAGTTCATGAATCTCTGCTGGTTGGTGTGTTTACTGACTTCAGCTGATGGCTTCAGCTTACAAAGCAATTTTCTCACAGGCTTATATAGCAATATGGTCAGTAAATTTACCGGATCGCCCTTTGGTATTCGCCATAATGGGCAGTGCGAAATGTGGAGTTAGTGTTGAAATCCATATTAACGTGAACACCAAGTAGAATGGTTCCATCCCACATTCCCTTCGCCTCGCTTCCTCCCTTGTCTTCTTCAAGGCTGGTCTCAAGACCCTTCTCTTCGACCGTGCCTTTGGTCTCTCTCCCATCTCTCTGCCTTCCCTCACCCCTGCACCACCCCTCCCCCATGCTCGGGCCCCGACACCTGACTGTTCAGCGCTTTGGGACATCCTCCTGACGTGAAAGGCGCTCTATAAATATAGTTTTGTTGTTGTTGTTATTCCCCTGCTGTGAAAAGTTTAAGAGTCATTCTGTTCTAGATATTCCATGCATTTCTCTTATTTATTGAAGGGAAGAGACTGTATCATTTTCAGGAAATCTTTCAGCAAGAGGTTACTAGTGCGTACATCTCACTTATTGCTCCTTGATGGCATTGCTCAGCCACAGTATAGCAACTGAACCCCAGCGCAGTGCATTGGCTCTGCAAACAAGGCCAGGATATACAGGTGCCGTAGGTTTGCTAAGGCCTAAGTAAATGCCCTTCACATAAAGGAGGTGTCAGTTCTTCAGAAAAATTATTGTACTTAAATATTTACTCTCTCTTACTATGGTCACCGGATGCTTTGCGAAATTGTTTTGTGCCAAAAGGTTTGCATAAATTTCAAAGCCGATTGCTTAGGCTGGCATCATGACGTGACGCACATACTCCTCCAGATGTCAATATTTGCTATTCTGGTATCTCCACTGTTGAGTTGTTATGGTAAGAAAGCGTAAAAAGGTCATGTGTGATATTAAGTGGTGTTCTTACTGAATTTCAGACAATGTTGAGTACATTGGACTTATAGTGGAGTATAAGAGACAAACTCCCTGTGGTCAGGTACACACTATGTAGACTGTTAGTAAAGCAAATGGCACCTTCTTAGTTTCATACTTCTGCATAAAGCATTACACCTGTGGAATTGGTTGCCAAATGGACATTTTGGTGCCAGCCTTTAGCTGTTCTGCAGTTTGTTTGAATTTTTCTGAGGACTCTATTGTGCCGTAACTGAAACCGAGAGCACTTGATAATGTCAGTGAGCACAATTTGTCTCACTCAATCAAAAATCACAGGCATTTCAGAAACTGTTGTCCTTTGCAATGTTACAAATGTAGTGGTATCTCCCCATACATTATATTAAAAAAACACAAATCCCTCAGCTCACTAACTAGGGTCATACAGTCTCTGGACAATGTCCCCCACCCTCTGTAGTGGTTAATTTTTGGTCCTAGCCTACAACTCCTGCTTTTAGATTACAGTATTCCAATGGCACTATTGTGGTAAAGTTGTGGGTTCATATAAGCTTAAGGTCCCTTTATATATAAACTAGGCTGATTCTCCAGTGCAGTTCCAGGGGAGCACTGCATTATCAGAGGTGCTGTCTTTCAGATAATACGATAATCTGAGATCCTAAAATTATAATAATCTTTCCATTTTTTGCTATAATATCTATAATGACTAAACATCTCAAAGTAATTTGTAGGGAATTGTATAGTCAAATATGATGACTCTGCATCCCCCAAATATACAATCACCATACTTTAAAACAATTAATTCTGAAGCTCTTTGAAATGTTTCAACATTACAGGCACCATATCATATTCATGGATTTTCATGGAGTATAGTTTACATTCATTGTTTAAAAATATGTATAGTTTATTACTTTTGAACTGAGTCTGTTAATTACAACAATAAAGATGCACACAGTAGTTAGTATTAAAAATGATTATTCTCTTCGCAATCTGCATCAGCCTAACCATGAAGCACATTCGACGAGGCCATCATTCCCTTGTCCCAGATTTATTGCTCACATGAATGCTTTGCCGAGGGCACTCGAATCGCCAGAGGTTTCCAGTTCTTGGCCCCAAGATCTCCCACAAAAGCCCTTGAAAGACCACCGCAGGGAGCTGCTTACTGCTCCCAAAAGCATCTGGAAAACCACAGGTATGTGACATTTGTTACATTTTTTGGCAGCAGGGCACCATCAGTCATAAAACAAAGGCAATAAAGTAAATACTATTTATTAAACTAAAAAAACACACTGCCCGTGTCTTGCGTAGGGATGCATGTTGTTCAAATAATGAAGCGGACTGAAATCTTGTCTGACTGAATGATGAAATAGTTGAAGCTTTCTGGAGTGAAAGACACAATCTTTAGTAGATGCATAGGTATTCATCAGCTTCTGTTCATTAATATACACATTGCTAGTGGCTGGCATTGAGTGAACATTACTGGAGCCTTAAACTAATTATTCGCCATATGGTGGCTGGTTTAGCTATAACCAGGGCAAAAGAAATTGACTGGTTAATTTCTTTGGATAGTTTACATAGCTATGACTCTCTCGACACATGCCATTCAACTGCTCACTGAATAACAGATGGGATAGGGCTGGGAATTGTACAAGATCATTGCATAAATCTGGCACCTAGCACCGTTTCTTTATCCTTTAGAATAACTCCAGTCACATGGTGTGTAGAAATAACAAACCCAGATTGTCCAGGGAGGATTTTCTGATTCTTCATAAAGACAGATCACAAATTTTGACTTTTTATTTATCAAAAGGATCAGGATTTCAGATTAAAGAAATTGAGCTTTTCATAGCAGCAATAATCAGCTCATTGTTTCCCGGGAAGTTGTTGGGGGCTACCGGAGAAGGGGTGAGGAGCTTTTGATTACAAGGACATCATAGCATGCTCAGCGGTTTCTTGCATCGCCATAGAAATTGGAATCAATCTTTGTGACTTTGCAGTGAGTGAGCAGCGAGGTAAACACATCGGAACACCAAAGACGAAAGCCATTACAAAAACAGGCCACTTCCTGCTATATCTGGCACTTTAGCTGTAGACGAAGATGAATGTATTTAGATGAAGACAACCTGCTAGACTTTTTTTCTTAGAGCTGCATTTTCTTTAAAAAAACGCCTTTTTTTTCAGTTTTAACATCTGATCAGTATGCCTTGGAGATGACCTTCACACAAGACCCTGTGTTACTCTTCAAGACCCTTTTTGTATTCTCTGAACAATGACTGCCATTAAATAGCTCAGCATGCCAATATGCTGCCATCAGAATGTCAGTCAATTTCTGATCGGTCACTAGGAAGTGTCCTGCACCACTGATAGTGTTGACATGAGAGATGTATGGCAGAAGTGCTGGTTTCTGCACAACCGCTGTGATATGCATAGAAAGATTTTGACCCAGATTCCCCCTTATTTAAACAATGTTTCACCCGCTAAGGACAACATATTGGGAAGGAAAATGCTCTTTCACACTGTGTGCCGGATGATGCATTGGTCAAGTTGGCTATAGATCATTCCACAAACTACAGGAGCCTTCAAAAATGTTGAATTGTCCGTTCTGAAAGAATAGTTAGAACACAGATGAATTGACCATAAAGAGTTATTTTTGATCTTCATTGAAGGAAGCATTGTAGCTAAAGAACACAAAGACATTGCAAGAATGAAAACTGGAAAATTGTAACACAATCACCCGATAACTAATTAGATGTTTCTGTTTTATAGCTTTGTAGAAATGATGTTCACACTTAGAAATTCCCTTTTTCCTAAATTCTGTTCAATTTACCGTTGAGAACAATGTGTGTTTTTCAATTGGTGTAGAGACTGTTCTACTAAGTGTGAGAGTGTGAGCAGCAGGGAATATAATCTAACTGCCCATTATTGATTATTGGTTGCTGAATTCTTAATTAAGGGAAAAAATCATTCCCTCTGGACATGTGCATTTGCACATGGTTAGCAAAACCAGCAAGTTAGACTCTAATGTGTTTTTTTTGTTTGATTAAAACTCTCCCCTCTAATTTTTAATGGAACCAGAGTGATTACAGAATAATTCACGCAAATTCAAACAACATCCATTGAAATATTACCTACCACTGCTAACAGACTTCTTATGTTTGGTGTGAACGTTATATTATTATTATTATGAATGTTTTTTGGTTTTGTGATAGATAGATAGATAGATAGATAGATAGATAGATAGATAGATAGATAGATAGATAGATAGATAGATAGATAGATAGATAGATAGATAGATAGATAGATAGATAGATAGATAGATAGATAGATAGATAGATAGATAGATAGATAGATAGATAGATAGATAGATAGATAGATAGATAACAACTGAATGCAAAGTCTAATATAGCAAAGTTCCAGTTTCAAGAATTCACTCTAATGAAGTGTGCTGCCCTTTTCAGGTTTGTGCCTTTATAATATAAGAACCTCAACTCCACCACAGGTAAATCCCACACAGAATCACATTCATAAGTCTGCTTTTATTCTCCCATCTAGGACATCCAAGCCCTCGAGATGCAGCCCAAGCATTTTTTCTTGTACCTGCTAGACATGGTACAAAAGCACTCCCCAAATCTCCTGTACCAAGCATGGCATCTTCAGATGAAGAGTTGGAAGATGATAAGGGGAAGATAGAATCTGCAGGTATTGAAGTAAGTCAAGCTGAAGACAATGCAGCTCAAGAAGAACGTGGAAACCACAAGATGTTTTTGAATGATGCTGATGCGGACGGCCGAGAGTTGGATGAGCTGGTCAAAATGAGAGAGAGCATCGCCCCCGTTCTGTCAGAATCAAATGAGAACTTGTCAGATTTTCACCAGAATGCTTCAAACGTGCTCAGTCGGAATACTGACTTTAGCTTTGACAGAGTCACAAACCAGTCAGGTAATGGAATGAATCTTAACTTAAAAATACAATAAGAATAATCATTGTGTTTGATTTAGCTCCTATCATATTTTGAAAGGTGTCAAAGAGCTTCACAAGATCTACTGTAAATTGTGGTGCCTGTATATTTTGCATGTGAACACGACAGCCAATTTGTGCCCAGCAATATCCCCAAATCATGAATAGGCAGCCATGAATGAACAAATGCTTTTGCAACTGATAATATATTCTATATTATATAAAATATAAATATAAAATATATTTTATAGGTTACCTAGCTCGATGTTAAGCTCCACCACTGTTAAGCACTCTGAGACCGTACCCTGCATGAAGGGCACTATATAAATGCAAGCTGTTGTTGTATAATTGAGAACATACCAAATGGAAACAATGAATAGTTTTACATGCTCATCCTTATTCATGCAAATGCACAAAAGGTTTTGATCCAAGATTTTTTTTCTCTCTCTGTGTTACTCTAGTTATTTTCTTCCTCTTTTGTTTATTCTCATATTTTTTGTTTCTTTCATTCACTCTTGCCTTTATTTGCTTTTTCATTTCACTGACTGAGCTTCCTCTATGTGGACTCATTTCTGAGGCAGGCACGAACAATTGGATTATCACAACATTGACTGGGACATTGCTGTGCGCAATTGGATGTCACGTTCATCTAGAAATACAGTCACTACACTTTACAGTAAAGGGCTTCCTTTAAATTTTAATTTAATTCCTTTAAATTTAAATTCAAACATGGTTTGAGACATTTCGATGATTTTGTCATTTGACATTGATAATGTGACAAGGGACGATATCAAATGCAAGGATTATTATAATTGTTTTTATTCTTACATTCCTTGTGATTGCATTTTCAATGCCCTCATAATAATATTCCGAGGGAGCTTGTATTCGTACTCTATGTGTCTGAGAGTTCCCATTTGGGAGAGAGGCAGGAATTGACCCCTATTGGCACTTCATGCCTTTTTCTTCTGAAACTGGCTGCTGATCTATAGTAAGTACAGTATTACAGGATTACAGAAAAAATCATGCAGTAAAATTCATACATTTATTCAAAAAACGGAGTCATATTGTACCTGTGACATGGCAGGAGTTCCAGATACCTTTCCTTTTCACTGCAGTTATGGATGTTTCCAAAAGGAAAAAAAATAAAGGGGCATTTAGACCTTTTTCTCGATCTCAAAATCTAATTATGCATCAGCATTGACCCAAACACAGCGCAGCCTCTGCTTTCCTAGGCCTACATCATACTAGTCAATTTAGCAATTAGTACTGGGCAGCAGAAATACAGCACAAACGATTAACATTTGGGTACAATTTTAGTGCTACCTCTGTGAAAAACTGTCCCTGCTTGTTTAATCTTTGGCCTTGTTACACTGTGTTTTTTAATTTCTTTCCTGATCAGCAGGTTTGTGGAAAAGAGCATCAAGTGCAAGTGGATCAGGAAGTGGCAGTAGTACTGATCTTTCCCAGCTTCGATGCTCTTCCTTTTCACTGGACAGTGTGGCATGTTCAGATTGTGAGCTGGAAACCAACAATAGCAGCAGTAAAATCTCTGACAGAATCCAACTACACAATGGCTCTCCATTGGTGGCCAGCAGTCTCTACAGCAGCATCGTCGATGCAAATCCATCCTTGTCTGGTTGCTATAGCATTAGTGACCCACTCCAAGCATCACCTTCTGCAGAGAAGCTCTCACCACCCAAGGAACCACCTTCATTCTTAGAAATATGGCATGATCAAGTCCTCAACCATTGGTCCGTTCTTCCACCTATCTCACCACAAAGAGGTTAATACATGTTTACTTCACTCTTTCCATATGGCGTGTTCACATGCTCCCTGCTTGCCTCTTCAATGCTGGCGCTTGCTGACTGCTGTGAGGGAATTGTTCCCATATTACTGGGTATCTAAAATCAATGCCTCCAAATACAAGGGAAAGTGACTGAGTTTCACTTGGTTCAATATGGGTATTGTTGGGCTCTCAGTATCCTGTCTTGGCATTATAAACAATGTCAAGTGTCTCGCTGACAATCTCAGTTCTTTTTATTGAGAGATTTCCAATAGAATTTTGTTCCAGTCAGCATCACTTTGTTTTTATATGAAAAAGGGTTTTCTAATACAGTTTGTTACATCATGTACCACTAATGTGTTGTCTTTCTTTGCTTTTTGCTTCAATGTGTAAATAGCCATGGTTAAGGGTTGTGCTTTTAGCTCTTTAGGGATGCAGCCCACATTGACAAGTATCTCTTCTCTGTTTCCCTTCTCTTGCCCTTTAGGACATTGCAAAACCTACAATCTCAGGCATTGCACTTCTGTTAAGGGGGTTCTTTACGCAATCATGTTAAAATGCTTTAATAATAATGATTAAAGTTGAAGAAACCATTGGAACTTGAAATGGTTTTCTCACATGTTATTGTTTGGTATTTATTACAGTTTGGATTTCAGTTAACTGGTAAGACTGGCAGATCTCAAAATTGTTACTGAGTCTGCAGGAACATTAGCGGATGCGGAATGAATGAAAATGACAAGCAAGTTGGTTTAAAGAAAGCATCCCTAATCCTTTTGGTTTTGTGCTGGATTCTGCAGGTTCATTTTAATGATAATTGATTCTTGGAGATGCATTTTACTCTGCTACACTCCCCTCAGTTCACAACTTAAAGGGACTCTATCCACTCAAGAAACCAGTCATTATGTTTGACAGCAATTACTTGTGAAGTGCTAATAGACATTTTGATGTTATAGACGCTATATCAAATGCAAGGATTAGTTATTTATTTATAGAACAGTGAACTTTTGTTTGCTTATAAACTCACAATGCAGAATGTGTTGAAACAGAATACCACGTCAATTGTGTTTGATTTTGTCCAGCCAAAAATGCTGCTTGCCTCCTCTCCTTCATAAAGCAATAAAAGTTTCCACCCAAACCTTCATCGATATATAAAGATATCCCTTTACTTTTTAATAAATCATGGAAAAGGAATTCTGCACAAAATATGTTTCTTAGATTATTGGAACTCTCTTTTATTATTAGATGAAACAAGCAAAGTTAGTAGGCGTAAGTGGTGGAGAAGTTATGAATAGAACAAATAACTACTAGTGGATGCAGGGAGTGGGGAATAATTGCTGGGGGATGATTACATTCCTACAAACCCTTCGATTCTCCTCCCCTATGGAAAAAGTTTAGTCGGGAAATCATGTCAGAAACACCTGGAGAATCAAGGGTTGGCTTGCTACAGTTACAGGTAATCCAGTTTAATAAACATATTATATCATACTCCTCACATGTGTTTTAGCTTTGTGGATTGTGCAGCATCTCCAGATGCCTAGACTTTCACATACGGCATCTGATTACTTTGCTGACTTTGTTTGCATTAACGTCATTGTCTATATGTGTCAGAAATTAGTAACAGACGTGTGTTGCAGCCTTTTCAGTCTGCCCTGGTCCTGCTTAGCTTTTCAGATGGATAATTCCATTGTAACTGTTACAATTTCCTTTCAGATCGGCATGCAGGGGCTTAACAATTGCTATCTGACCCATTTTAACCCTTTTGAACATCATCTTCAAAGTGTTACTGTCCTTGACAATGAAGGAGACCTTCCAATTGTCCAGCTCTTCCATGCAATTCTAGGGCCAAGTCAACTGGCTTTTTAAGTGGCTGGAGGAGTAGACAAAGTGGTCCGTTGTTTCCGAATGACTTCACTTGAGCTTCCCTTTCACTGTTTGCCATGTTTTAGAATAATATATTTCTATTGAAGATGATGGGCATCTTGACAGCCACAATATGCTTTGAAGTGTTCTGTCAAATAATGTCTTTTGTCATGATTTTTCCAGCAACTGGTCATTATGCTACTTGTGCTGTTTCCTGCAGGTCCCTCCTCCAAGCGAAAAAAAAGACACGGATCTATTAGAAGCTAGGGAACAAATATCCAAAGCTTGTGCAGCATGGTATCTGCCTTGTTTACCAAGTTAGTGTGTGGCCACTTGTTAAAAATGTTTTATGTGCACTGAAAATAAGCTACTATTGAAAAAGAAAATCATTTAGTCCCTTAGAAAGACTGCCTGGATGTCAAAGTCTTGTTGTATGTCTGGCAACTCCTCTGAATTCAGCTTGGATTGTTGACAAATATTAAAACTTCAGATTTCTTCCTGACATCTGTGATGAAATTTCCTTCTCCCCCTCCAACCCGCCCCCCATTCTCAGCTGTATCATGATGAACAGAAAACATCTGTCTGGTCCTATTTATTTGCATCTTTAGCTGTTTCTTCAGAAGCAATATGGGGGGGGGAGTGAAGCCGCAGCATATAAGAAACAATGAACTTGAATTTTTAAGGTGCTTTGTCACAATGAAACTTCTTAAAGAGTTTGATTGTTGGTAAGTGTAGTGACCAATACAGCAGCTTTTATAAACACATTGCAGTCATTTAGTGGTATTTGTGACAACTCTGCGTGTGGAAATCTACCAGTTTATGTAAAGTGAATTGGGTTGTTATGACAAAACTAAGGTTATGTTTCTACAATGTCTAAAGGATATTAACGTGTCTTTTCTTTGGAATATTCACAGCTTCCACAGATGCATTGTATGAGGAGAGTTATGATGACCTCAGGGCACACAAAGAATTGGATGGGATCATTCCGTCTACTGGGTTATTATCTCATCAGCTCTTGGATAAGTCCAGCAAACTCTCTAATTCAGGTAGTTTCCATCAGCATTTTGAACGATCCAAGAATTTTTTCCTCCTTCCAGTCAGAGGCCACTAAATAATTGGCCACAGGCAGCTCAGTACTTGTTTCGTGGTTCATTTATTAAAGTATAAGACCTGTGATACAGCCTGAAACCAGCTTACTATAATTGCACCTTGGTGATCCCCACTAACAGGAATACATTTCACTTTAATGAATCTTTACTTGTGATAATGGCCTGGCTAAACTTGCCCCCACCCTTGCTTCCATCAAGACACAGCTCAAGACCCTCCTGTTCAACTGCACCTTCGGTCACCCTCCTAACCCATATCCTCCCTACCCTCCAGCCCTCCTGATTCCAACCCCCTTCTCGAGTCCAAATCCCGACTGTCCAGTGCATTGGGATAGCCTCACGACGTGAAAGGCGCTATACAAATGTAATTTGCTATTGTTGGATTGATCAGTCCATTGCTGACAGCTCAGTTGCAAGCTTCCGCTTTGGAGCCAAGCAGAAACACGCCTACCACCATTGAAAACGCAGCAGCTATCATTTTCTGCCATTGATTGAACGTACAAGGACTTTAATCCAGAAAATGGAATCAAAACCAACAAAAGTCTTGTTTATTTGCCAAGAATAGCCCTGTAATCGTATTTGTGTAAACACGGTGATCTTTGTTCTTTTGCAAAAAGATCTTTTGGCCCAGTGCAGCAATGACTGCACTTAATCCAAAATTAAAGCAAGTTGTCTGAATCCTCCCAGGAAATCCTAGTGCCTATCACGCTGACAGCATTGGGATTGTTAGTTGTTGTTTTGTCATGGGTACGGTGGGCACACATTTCTAGACCATTTGATTGGCATGTTTTCTTTCTATTTTTGTGGGCCGGTGATCGCTGCTTGATGTTGGAAGTGAAATTGGCTAAGGCTGTGCGGTTAAAGTGACCACTGCTCATGCAGCCAATGCCATTTGTGCTCTTTTATCTGCTTTCCTTTGTGTGAGGGATTTTGTCATATCTCAGCACAGCCTGTAGGTGGTACACTTTGTACTGCAACCATTGTGAATTTGATCATTTATAGGATTAACACAGAAAGGGACGGCATGAGATTGGCTGAGCGAGAATGCATAAAGGAGAATACTCTAAACTATCCTGTAACTATGAGGGACTGGCTGGAGGGTGGTTTGGCCTTAATTTACCCCCTTATCCAGTGGCATTCTACCTGGTTTTTGCTTATTGCTTCTTCTCATGACAGCAGGTCTAACAGCTTTGTGAATTAGTTACCTCATGTGAGGAGCAGTTTGAGAGATTTCACATTAACTAGGTGAATGATGATCAAAATGTGCTAATATTGGATATCGATTCGGAAGAGGCCTAGGTTACTCCATCTGGTCTGGTTATGGTGGTAAAGAAGGCATTCAGTTGTTTAGTCCGACCCCCAGCTCGGGTCCGAAACTCTGACTGTCGAGCACCTTGGGACATTCTCCTGACGTGAAAGGCGCTACACAAATGTAATTTTGTTGTTGTTGTAGCCATAAGATCTTTCCAGAGAGCAGGTTGAGTTTATAGTGGTGAGGATCAAGGCACCTAGTTCTGAGTGTCTTAGGTCCAGTTGCTTCGTAAATGTATTACATGTTGATGTTCTGTTTATTTGATGACTAGCTTAACAAATGTGTTACAGAAAATGGTGCAGTGCAGTTGCAATTCTTCCTCTAAAATCTTGCCTCCCACCGATTTCTTTGCTGCTGTGGCAGGTGCTCAACAGAAGCCACACATTCCGCATCGAAGAGAGATGGTGCATCTTTCACCTTATTCCTCTGAACAATGTTTTGTTTGTTACTGGAGAATACCGACACACTGTTTATTAGTTTTGTCAAAGTCAGGGGAACTGATGTTAATGGGAGATTGTTGGGATATGACCACCGTAAACACACACAGCATTTTACAAACATTGTATATGTGGGATCTAGAGGGAAGACCTCACTGCTTGAAAAGCAGCAACAAGCAGCTAGCCTCCTATCATCTGGCCTGGGTCAGTAGAGCAGCCTGCACTGAGATCCCTAGGTTGGGGAATGGAGTAAATGGTAAAGTGTTAGGCTGAAAAGCAGGTGACAATGGCATTGCTGTGGGCATTCAGCTAGATTGCCAGATTTTTAACACATGTGGAGTATTTATCGAAGAAATTCAGTGAAGCATCAAACAGGAAGCACTTCTATATTACGCTCTGTAACAATCCTGTATACATTTATTATGCTGAGAAATGTAGAGACTTTATGACTCTTCTTCACTTTCACTTTACAGAACTGACTGAAAGTTCACCAGCATCTCACATACTCAGGACTACACATCCAGAGAGATCGCTGGCTGAAATTGGGCTTTCCTTGATGGATCGACAGGGTAGCGCCAGTGCCATTGGTCAGGTTGACCAGCACTTGGCTGAAAGATCTCTAGCAGACTCCCTGGAGAAGATTTCTGGGAGAGATGCAGGAGAAATGGACAGAATAATGAAAAATAATGGTGGGTTTTGCTCATGGATTTATATTTTGGGAAATATATTGTATTTGGTTCATGTTAATAATCTTAATTGATTTTAAGGGTAATAAACGCTTAAAAAATAATCATAATTTGGTTACTCAATCCATAACTATTTGTGGGACACTGCTGTGTGCAATTGGCTGCTGTGTTTTGCCAACAAAATATGTAGTCAATTCACTTTACAGTATATTCTATGAAGGCCTTTGAGACGTCTCAACAATGTGATAAAGCGCTATATCAAATGCATATTATTATATTTTTATTATTATGTTTGTGCACTGTGGAATGTTAGGCTTCAGCTGGTGCCAGGAATAGTGATTTTATTTTACATTGTCTGGCTTGTAACTCTGCCAGTCTTCTATGTAAACAATCCTGGCATGGATATTTCTCTTGGCAAGTGATGATGGTTACTGGTTGGATCTGACAGGAATGTCAAGATTGGTAACAGTAAAGGCTGAGGGAACACGAGTAGAGAGGATGAGTGAACAGCTGTAACAAGTAGCAATGTCGTTGTTATAACCTTTCCCCTTCCCCCTTTTGTTTGGCACATGTGGAAATGCAGCGCCATGCTGGAGAATCCAAACTAGAGTTCTGTGTGAGTCTGGCATCTACCCTGGGAAATTTCCTGTGTGCGCACTCTATCCCCAGGGAGATGCATTAGGCTAAAGGTAAGGCTTGGGAACCCCAAGCCAGATACACCACATGGCTTGCCTTGGTGATTACTGTCTGGCAAGCTTCCCGATCATTGTCCAGTTAAGATGATCCTAACTATTAGTGCTTTGGTTTTCAGAGCTAACAGGAGATGAGTGGGAAGAATCCCAGAAACTGTTATGCCCCTCTAAGCCCTGTCAACAACTAAGCCAGTCTATCATCAGCAGTGCTTTAGATTATTGCAGACCTGAATGGACTACCGAGACCACTACAGAGGATTGACTTTATTCCAATTAGTTCTGCCTGCTTAGGGTAACACTGAATCTCCTGCTTGTCCCTCATCCCCACTGCTCCAACTTCAGTGGCCGTGCTTTCAGCCACTACCCCCCAAAACTTTGGAACTCTTTCTCTCCATCTCTCCTTCTTGCCCCCTCCTTTCCCTTTTTCGGATCACGCCTGAAGATCTTCCTCTTTGACCATACTTATAGTCACCTCCCTGCTCTCCCTGGCTTGGCATCAGGCGTTTGAGATGTTTCACTCTTGGAATAAAATGCAAACTTCAAAGTAAGGAAAAACGTCATAGCTACAAAACTTTTCCAAGTTACAGAAAAATTGTAAATTGTAAAATATGCAAGAATGTCATGTCCCTGTAATACCTGTTAATCATGGATAACATTTGTTATTTTAAAGTTATTGAATGACAGTTAAGGATTATTCTATAATTAGGTGTTGTCTTTGTTAAACAAAAGTTTTAAAGTTTTAACATATATTTACCCGACAAACATGGAAATAATAAATATTAATAGAGTGTAAATACATTTACTTCTCATTATATATGGGCTCCACAATCCAGGAGCTCTCTTGGGGGCTTTTATAGGTTTCCAAACTGTTGTAATACAATAAAGTACTATTATAAGAAAGGGCAAAACATACACATTCTTATAACAGGGTCCCAAATAAAATAAGTTGGCACGATCTCAGCGAGCTTAAATTCACATTATGAAACAATTCCGAACTTGGCACAAATCTATCTTATTCCAGAACAAGATGGATGGAGCAGTGAATGGACCTGGGTTAAGATATATTTTAACAGAGAGTTTTGGACTGCACTTACCATGTATTCCACTTTCAGATTTCCCACAGGTTGAGGGGATGCACTTAGTGACTCTAAATAAAGAATGCTGTATTTTTGACCCTGATATTTTATTGAATCTAAGTTTCGGCAGTCTGACAGTTACAGTGTGAGTTTATGAGAGACATGGTAATCTTGACAAAGTAAACCATTTCTTATACTTTTCTGGCAGGTTTCCCACCCCATCACACTGAGCTTGTTTCAGCAAATACACCAATGGTGACTTGCTTTGATAATGAGAAAGAAGAGCCTCCGAGGTTTGTCAGAATGGTGAGTCATCCATTCAAAAGTGGAGTCAAGCTTGTTGTTTCTGTTAGAAATAATCAAAGTAATACTAATATCAAACTGGTATTTTAAAGGCATCTAATGGTTTTTTTCAATCACGATTTTATCAGTAAAATCAAACTGTTAATATTGACATCAAAGATTCTTCATTTTTATACATTCATACAATAAAGTTTGAAAATCACAGGTTGGAAAGTCGGTTCATTCGACTGTGAAGTGTGGAAGATTGACGTCACCAGACTTTTCTTTGGGAGGATCACAGGTCCTAGTATGCAACAAAAGGGTGTCAGTGTGTCACAGACAGCATTTAAGTATCTGTTTGAGGAATTGGGCCCAGGCTGAAGAGTGGAAATGTGGGAATAGATGAATATTCTGCCGTCTTAGATTGATTAATACTTTCCGGAATTAGGTTAAGTATATTCAGCCACAACCAGAGAGTGCTCTTTACCAGCCTCCAATTGCCAGGGAGATGTTTAGTGATGGAGGAGAGCTGACTGAAAAGTTCAGAAATGACTGTATATAGAAATATACATGACTAGAAATGAAATGGATATATACAAGAAGAAGAAATGTACAGGACCAGGGAAATATTTTGACGTCCACTTTTTTCTGACTGTAAATGTGGTTCTGCCAGATTATTTATTTAAAAAAAACGTTTAAAAGGCTGGCTTTGCACTTCAACTTTCTGATGGGTGATCATGTCCTAGTTGTAGATGGACATATTTAAAATTGAAATCCAGAGCTTCTGGCAGATCCTGTTGAGGTCTATACAATCAGCAAACACAAAGCATCTAATCCATTGCAGCAAACTTCATTCAGCTTGTTAATTATTGTGGGTTGAGATGTATTGTCACTTGATAAGTACCTGTTAGATCTTAGACCTGGGAAGGTAGCCACTGCACCATGGAGCATGGCTGCACATCAGTCAGTGCAACTTCACACCTTTGATGCATAGTCATTAAGAACTTTTCATGTTTGCAGTGAAAGACTTTGGTTTACCTGCCACAATGTGGAAATTTAATCTGTGCTGGATAGTGCTGTTTTTTTGAAACCAGGTTCTGACTCCTCAGATATCGATGCTTAGTGTTGGGGCACTGTTGTGCCTCTTTGAGGTTTAACATATACCGGGTCATCTGGTATACATCTAATTAAACAAAATGTAATGCTATTAACCATTGTACACATAGAGGGAAGAGAGATTGTTTTCAAAATGTGTAATTCTAAACTCCGAACAATTTAACTTTAGACGTTCAGAATAAAAGTGTGTTAGTGATGAAATGGCAAGTAGCGTTACAGACATCAAGAAGACCTGAATGTCTCAGATTGTTCTTGGTCTGGTCTGAGAGATGCTCCAAATGAGTCCTGTCTAGCTCTCCCATGTGGCCATCAGCAATATAAATACTGTAGGAAGAATATAATATTTAGGGACGAGAAAAGACCATTTTGTCCACCACTCTTCATCCCTCCATTGCAGCAATTCTCCTTTGTGGTATTGAATTATATTATACCCCAAAAAATGTGGTCATTCACTTCATGGCTGTTTGTAGAACACTGGTTGTGTGCGCAATTGCCTGCTGCGTTTTGCCCACAAAATACACAGTCAATCTGCTTTGCAATATATTCTGTGAAGCGCTTTGAGATGTCCCAATGGCGTGGTAAGTTGCTATATCAAATGCAAGGATTATTATTATTATTATTGAATTGTATTTTGAATTATCACAATTTTATTTCTTAGAGTGCTAACATTGTTCAGAGAATTTCCAGGTTTCGGAGAAAATGGCATGTGATTGGCTGTAACCAGCTTCAAAGATTATTTTCTCAACAGCTCAGTGTCACAAGTGCAAAAAAAGTTAACATGTTCCCAGGTCAATCATTGATTTTTTTTATAAACAATCTTTTTGGTGACTCAGGGAGGCTGATTGCACACAGACATGAATGATAACTTGTCTGCAATGCAGAAATGGTTTTAAATTGTAATTTTAAAATTGTTATAAAAGGTGTGTTCTTTTTATTGTATTCTGTATTTTGATTCAACTTCTCTTCCTTCAGGACATAGATTTAAACCCTTCCATGCTGCTAGTTAAGGACATCAAACAGTCATCTATGCTGCAACCAGACCACACTAAGGACTCAGGACAATTTTCAGCCAGTAGCCCATCATGTACGAATGAGGAAGACTCACCTTTACTCCCAAATAGTAAGTTTAATACTTTTATTCTTTACCTGGTGAATTCTGAACAGCGAACTTGCCTCCTGCTATCCAGGTGCAAGCTTAATCACCAGCTACCTGATCCTTTGACTATTTACTTGTCATTGCATGAAATGCTCAGGACAAGGGCCCCAGCTACTATAGATGAATGATTTACCAGCTATCATTTGATTCAAACCAATTGAATGACATTCAGTCATATGATATTATATTTTGTCGCAAGGCAACCGCAGGAAATAATAGACCGGCACTCGACAAAGCCTGCTTCTGTTTTAAATACATTTTAATCAAACGAACGCCAAGAAAACAGAATAAGGGGGAAGCTATATGATGACAGTCCTGCAAATACTAGGAGCAAAAATAAACATAAGGCAACTGGTTGGTGTTTAGAGCGGTATTGCTCTCTGCCTTTGTCTCTGGCCATGTGTGATGTGAAATTCTTTATTTTGTTTGACTTCCTTTCATGTGGAGCTCATTTTTCAGCCCATTTGACATTGGTGGCACAATATTGATTTGGTTTGGCAGCTTTGGGATAAAAGAAAACTTCTTTTGTTCTGATTATTTAATGACGAAAAATGGAACAATAGAATTAGTGCTGTAGCTTTCTGCTTTTTCCTGCAAATACTTTGAGTACAGGATGGATTCATGATAAGGAGTTCTGGGATATGAGTGATCTGGACTGATATATTGTCATGAGTGAGATATGGTGAATGTTGGTTGCAGGATGTAAATTGCATCCTTTAGTGGATTCTCATTATGTATCTTTTTATATCATATTTATATCATACAAGAGTCCAGCAACTCAGGGGTTAGAGCAATCGCCTCGCAAGCAAGAGACTTGGGTTCGATTCTTGGCAGGGCGAAACCTTGGGCAAGTTTCCTTACTCCACACGCCTGATAATAATCTTTAAAAAAACACAATAATAAATTGGTCACTTCAATCCTCGACTGTTTGTGGGACACTGCTGTGCGCAATTGGCTGCCGCGTTTCAATCCGGTTACTGAGCTCGTGGGTCCACAGTATTCCAGGGCACTGCTGATGACAGCACAGCCAGCCTGGCTCATTGGCATATCTTGGAAGGGCAGACCAGTCACTGGGGGTAGGGAATCCTCCCACTCAGCTCCCTGCAAGCCAAAGCCCTTACGATTAGGGTGGTCGGAGCTGGACAAGCAGAAGAAAGCTTGTCAGACGGTACTATCCATGGCAAGCTCTGCAGTTTTAGCTGGTTAGTCTCCAGCAGTTACCCCAACACACACTCTGGGGTCCCCAAGCCTTGGCTCTTGCCAACCTGTGACTAATACTTTCCAGAATTAGGGAAGCAGGATGGGTCCCTCCAGGGAGAGAGTGTGCATTCCATTCCAACTGGGATCTCTGAAATTTACTTTTGTAGGTGGGATGCATAGAATATTCAGCTTGGTTTGGATACTTTTAAGCCTGGTGATGGGTTTCAGCATGTGTCAGACACCCGGTTGCCCCCCCCGCCCCCCCAAATAATAATAATTATATTACTTGCACGGTGAATGCCTGTGATTTCTTTTTTATCTGCATACTAGACCCCAATGATAGTGAACCAGGCTGGGCCAGTGAGGACGTTCACCGTATGAAAAGAACATGGTCACAGGACGAGTCTGATGGGGGTGTTGATATTGGTGAGACTACAAAACAAACCTTATAAAAACTGGCACAAAATAAGATACAGTTGACTGTGATGAATAACTCGAAATGGCGACAGAATGACACTATCATATTCTTTACATGTTATTGTCAAGCTGCTGTCTAAACTGCAGCATTTCTCTTCTAAAAGGATTCTTTAATAATAAATCCAGGTTGCGAAAGGAAAATCCTTCTGGTAATCTAATATACATCACAGGCTGATGTAGCAACTCTACTCCACCTGATCCACTTTTGGAGCAGAGATCTTGAGGGTGTGCAGTTACTGGAAAGGAATCCTGTTCACAACTCACTGCCCTTTTTAAGAAACCCTGGTGTTAAGAAATCCTTATGTTTTGGACACCAATTATCCTGATCTTGTACTCAGGCCAACCAGAACCAATTATGTAGCTTTGGGATATACGCTTCCAATGATTTACCATGTTTTCTACATGTGAATATAACATGTGATTATTCTGAGGAAACTGTAACATTTGGCGATTATACCCTCAGATCAACAGAGCTGGACTTTTCGAGGCTTCACGGCTTTTTCGTGGTGATGAAGACGATCATTTATTCAAATCGATTCCCATCTTTGTCCACGGATGTTAACGGCACTCCTGGCCGCTATTCTCTATTCATTTAGTGCACCTGAATTTCAAATTGCTCCCAAGAACTGGAAAGCATGCTGTATCATGAAACCTGATGAGACCAAATTCTGAAAACGTCGATTTCTGTCTGATGTCATCCTGGTTTGAATTATTTGTGAAAAGAATTCCTGGGCACTCCTACTAATTATAGAAACGCAGTTCATTTCATGTTTCATCCTTTGCTGGTTCAAAGAAGGGATTTTCCAAAATCCCCCCCATAAAATGCATTTTGAGTAACTATTGGCAAAAATAAACAAATCAGCTTTTTAAAACAATGGTTTTCTTTGCACTTTTCTCGTTAGCAGAATCAGTGTGCAGCAGCATATTCATTGGGACATGTGAAGCTGTTTATTACCATTCACTGTGGATGTATTTTCAACCAAGAGCTGATCAGTTGATAAGGCAATGGGTACAGGAATGTGCAGCAGTTTGGTTTGGATACTCTTAAGCATGTTGATGGGTTTCTGCATGTGTCAGATACCCGGCTGACCAGCCAAAAATGGTTAAACACTTACCATGAGATAAACTGTCTGCATTGTTTTAATACTGGCGATGTAACAACCATTACTTCACTATCAGTTAGTGTACTATTTAAGCAGCTATCACCATTCCTATTTATTTTAACAGTGATGTGCTTGCAGTGACATAAGAATTACTCGGCTCACTCACTCATCTTCTTAACTAATCTGAACATGGTTGATCATGAAGAAATCTCCTGCTTTATATATTTAGCATTCAGCTGCTCCGTCCATTCTGCACAGTGCAATGTTTGGATGGAGCAGGTTAACAAGAGCAAATCATCATGAGCTTAATCTATTTAGGAAGATTTAGCTTTATTTAGAGAATGAATGTGTAAAAGCAGTAAATCCTGAAGCTGAGCTTAAGGGTGCAAAGGAAATGATTGTTCATCAGACCACACACTGCCCATGTGTGTTCTTCACTGATTGTTAGAAATCCTTTACAATCCCTCTACCACCTTTGTTTATTCCTTACAGAGGGGCACTTTGATTGGCATTTTGTCAGAACTGATAAAGAGACCATGATTGTTAAATAAAAGGAGGCAGGTCCTGACCAGAACTCTGTCACTCAAAGATTGATTCTTTTCACAAATAATTCAAACCAGGGTGGCATCAGACAGTGATCAACTTTTTCGGAATTTGAATTCGGGTTTCGTGATGAGGCAAAGTTTTCCAGTTCTTGGGAGCGTTTTGGGAATTTGAGCGCATTAACTGAATAGGGAACAATAAAAGATTTTCCCTTTAGTGTGGCCGTGCCTTTTTTGTTTGTTGTAGATAATGTGGACACGCTGTCTACCTGAACATGAGGCAAATTGAGACCCCGTTTTTGTCTTTAAATAAGCTTCACCAACAAAAATGCAGAAATTAATTTGCTATTTAAACTTTCCATTAAATACAATATTTATCCAAAAGCGTGAACCTGAACAAATATTACAGGAGGGCTCATTAATTCAACATCAGATCTATCCAGAGTCAATTATTTTTTAGCTGTTTAAAATGCTTAAAGTAAGATTTTTGTTTTAATGTTGAACATAAGAATTGCTAGACAAAAGAAGACCAAGGTCCATCCAGTTCGCCTTCCATCCTATGCAGGTAGTGTAATTCATGTTGTGCATTGGAATAACTTTAATATTCTGATTATCAGCCTTCCTAATTAACTGACAAACTCTACTCAACTCCCCAACCCTTTTTCCTCCTCCTCCCCACATTTTTTCTTGTCTCCTCCCTGACTAACTTAAAATAACGTTTCCATATGTTGGACTTTTCTGAAAACCAAATAACTCTTAATTGACTTGAAAACAACATGAAGTGCTGTGTATTGAATTCTTCAGAGGAGCATTCTGCTACAAAGTACTTTATCCATGAATAAAATATTAGTTTAATAGGTGGCCTTTTTGTGCTATTTGTGTGAAGTTCACTTACTGCCTGTTGTTGTCGAACAGGAAAACATGCCTAATGTATCTTCCTTTGAATAACTAATGCATCAATTTTAATGAGGCAGGATCCCTCCATTATGGTTATTATTACAGAGCAGTCAGTTATGATTGTGTTTCAACAGTGTAGAAAGGAGGGTGAAGTTCTATAAAGAACCGATGAGATAGTCACACTCAGTGCACATGTCTTTATCATACTTGCACAGATATAAGCTAATGGAAAGGACGCTAGGTTAGACTAATACAAAATACCAATAATAATAATCCTTACATTTGGTATAGGGAATGACATATCCTCTGCTTCTTATTAATAATTTACAGATGCAGACAAATATGAAAGGACACCTTTTAAATGTTTCTATGTGTTTTGCCTTTAAGGGTTACAGTCAAGCAAAGATACTGCGGAAAATGAAGCGATTTGGTCCGTTTCAAGCTGTCATGCTGAGAGTGAGAAGATCTTGGAATCTCCACAAACCAGTCAAATTGATAGACAAGCATCATCCAAAGTAGAGCACAGTTTGCTGGAAAAGATGGGGCGAGCAAGGCAAGCTGAAGAACGTAAGACAAAAGCTCTCACTATCTTGAAAAAACTGAGCGAAGCAAAAGCTCCCGGTGTTCGAGTTAAAGAGGCCATGAACATCTCCAGCTTTGAAGATTGTAAGTAGCAATCATTGTATAAAGTGCTTTACATCCCATTTAATATGAAACAAAAACAGAAGTCGCTGGGAACATTCAGCAGGTCAGGCAAGGTCTATGGAGAAAAGGAAAATGAATCAACATTTCGGGAACACGACCCTTCATTAGAACTGGGTCATGTTGGGATTTAATATGATGTTGGCAAACTGGATGATAGAATGCTCAAGCGTTAAATTGAAGCAGAGGTGATCATTTCTTTAAAAAGGGAATTAGACAAGATATTTCAAGAGGAATATTAAAAGGTATAGAGAGCAATTAAGAGGGCCGGGATTGGATTAAATGACTCACGTGGAAACAAAAGCACCAGCACAGACTGGATCGGGTTGTTTCATTCTGTAATATTCCATAATTTTATGACAATTAAAACATCAGTATTGGCTGTCATTTACCTAGAATCTAAGGGAGGAAGGAAAGTTAGATGACCCTATTTTAGTCCTCTCTAGCAGAGGAAGAAAAAGTAGTTAAGGTACAGGACTCCACATTCACAAAATAGCCTTAATGCAGTCCATGGTCCACAGGTTGGATTACCTTGCCCTCCAGAATGAGGTTACATTTAAACAAACAGAATGTTTATTTCTGAACGACAAGCACATTGTCATATCTATCAATAACCTTATAACAATTGAATCATTGCTCGTTCCCATTCACAAATGTTAGACGGTTGATGATGTTTCAGTGAGCCACTGAACATAATGATTTGATTTATGAAATGCCTTCTTTGCTCTGCAAATGATTTATATGTTGGCCAATACAGGACACAATTATTAGACATTATACTAGAAAGATAAATCATATTTGCTCTGTGCAAGCATGTTTTAATAGCCCCAGGGTTAATAATCTGCCTGCAAGAGTTAAACTGTTAAAATAAAAGACTGGAGCCAAGGTCAACCACCGATTGGAAACTTTCAGAACTGAGCCGTATTGAGTAACAAATGAGATGATGATGGTATCTACAGAATCTACAGTTAAATGAGGTTTTACAAAGAAGAATTATTCTCCCCCCGCCACCCCCCCTCCCCCCCCCCCCCACACCTTATTTTATTAACTTTCCCTATTTCTGGTTACCATGGGCTATGTTTTAACTGCAGCTAAGAAAACAAGCACAATTTAGTAGTGGGACTAATCATGGAGTTAAATCCGTGCACCAACAAACCATGGCACATGGATTTAAGTCCATGGCTACCGCACATTCTCACACACTGTTCCTCTGTGTTGTTCCATTCTTCATTAGCTTCTGTTAAGCAGTGCTGCATCTTACAGGAAGGTTAGCAACAATAAGCAAGGCAAACAGGAGGCTGAGCTTTATTGCTAAATCAGTTGACTTTAGATCCCCAGACACCATTCTCAAGCTGTAGAGTGCTCTAGTTAGGCCACACCTTGAATATTGCATATACAGAGTGACCAAAAAGTTGTGATATCTATAAAAAAGCCCCAAATATTATCATTTCTTTAAGACTTATTAGACATTGTAATGGTATCACAACTTTTTGATCACCCTGTTGTTCCCTCCAAGCCCTAGAGTAGGTGCGGAGGAGAGCAATGAAGATGATCCCCAATGTTAGAGGAATGAGCTATGAGCAATGCCTAGACTAGCTGTGTTCTTCAATCTTGACAGAAGACGACTCAGAGGGGACCTTATAGAGCTGTGCAAATTTTTTAATGGGATTGAAAAAGTAAATCTAGATTAATACTTTAGGATGTGTCATGACAGTAGCACAAGGCGACATAGGTTTACAATTGTAAAGGGCGATTTCAAGACAATTTTCTTTTGTCCTGAAGCAGGGCTTGAACCCACAACCTTCTGCCTCGGAGGTGGGAGTGCTACCACTGAGCCAAGCCAATGCACAAAAATAATTGACCTCATTAGATCCTTAAAACAAGTCAGAAAGTAGCAGTTCTGAATTGCAATACGGTACTTTGTTGTGTCTTCCAATTCGCTCAGTGCAAATCATCAAACCTTCCTCCTATAGGCTGCTGAACAGCAGTTTTGTTCTTAATTTTTCTGTATATTTGGGGAGGGGAATCCGAGCAAGAGGCTATTTTACTGATAGCTTTCAAGTCAGGAACGTTTTAGGTTTTTATATTTAAAAAAAGGATACAGTTTAAAAGGTAATCGAATGCACGTTCTGACTATAGTGAGAATGAAAAACCTTTCCATATCATGAACCATACTGTATGTGTAGCTCAGTGCATCAGCGTGATGGGTTTGTCACAAACCTGTTGCACAATGGCTGAATATGAGTGGCATCGAATTACCATTATAAAAGCAAACAGAGCGATATTGATTGGTGAAAATAAAACAGATGTTGTTTACTGTAAAACCCTTTAAAAGCAATCTTTATGTAAGGGACCCAGAAAGGAGGCTTTCTCAGTGGCCTTGTTACTGGCATATTGTATACAGTAATGTTAGCAACAAGAAAGAATAATACCAGGTAATTTGTTTTGTTTTACTTATCACTTTTAATCTAGTAGTTTGTAACCACTCACGGTGTGAGCGGGCACAGGCAAACCACTTACAGTGTTAACACTTGCCAGCATTTCTTTTTAACTCTTTTGAAACTAAGAAAGCAAATCGGGGCTCCATCTGTAAAATACACACAGCTGCAGTTGTGGTTATTAAAGAAACGTATGTGGCAGCTATTGAACCATGGCACAGGCATTCCATACTTCAGAGCTTGGCACTGTAGCATGCAAAGAGTGAGAAAGGGCAGAGCAATTTAGCACCAAGTGGGAACGTGTCCACTGCCAGACACAAACACATGAGTAAACACCTCGAAACAGACCATGGGATTAGCAAAGTCTCTTTCCAATATATCTCAGCTGTTAACCCTTTACCTGGGTTCGATTCCCGGGAGGGCGAAACGTTGGGCAACTTTCCTTACTCCACACACCTCTGGTTACCTAGTCTGTAGGAACCCGGTTGTTAGTCGATTGGCGGATTGCTTTTCCGGGGGCGAATAATTATTTCCAAAAAAAAATAATAACCTGGTCTCTCAATCCACAACTGTTTGTGGGACGCTGCTGTGCACAATTGGCTGTCGTGTTTTTCCCGCAAAATATACAGTCAATACACTTTACAGTGTATTCTGTGAAGCGCTTTGAGATGTCTCGAAGACGTGATAAGGCACTGTAACAGACACAAGGATTATTGTTACTATTATTTACCATCATGTTCAGTTAGCTGTGTTACTGAATAGTGGAGTCATTTTATTGAGCAATTTGTTTGCTAATATAGACAGCCGTCGCAGGGAAGAGAACCCTGGTTCAATTATTGCATGGGGCAAAACCTTAGAACAACAACAACAAAATGACATTTGGATAATGTCTTTCACGTCGGGAGGACGTCCCAAGGTGTTGGACAATCAGCACAATCAGTGTTTTGACCCAAGCTGGGGGTCGGGATCAGGGAGGGTGGAAGGCAGGGGTGGGGGGGGGGGGGGGGGGGGAGGAGGGTGATTGAAGGCATGGTCAAAGAAGAGGGTCCTGAGATAGGTCTTGAAGAAGGCAACGGAGGTGGCGAGGTGGAGGGACTATGGGATGGGGTTCCAGAAGGTAGGGGCAGAGTGGCTGAAGGTCCGTCCGCTGATGGTGGGGTGGGCAAAGCAGGGGATGTAAAGCAGGCTGGAGGCCACTGAGCAGTGGAAGTGGGCTGGTTGATAGGGGCTTAGGAGGTTGCAGAGGTAGGGAGGAGCAAGGCTATGGAGGGTTTTGAAGGTGAGTACCAGAAACTTGAACTATATCCTCTCTGTGATGGCAGGCCAGTGGAGTCGGGCGATAATGGGGGTGATAGGGTCTAGGAGCCTAGTGCGGGGGAGGACACAGGTGGCAAAGTTTTGGATGATCTGCAGCCTGTGGAGGGATGACATGGGGAAGCCAACAAGCAGGGAGTTTGCGTAGTCGAGCCTGGATGTTATGAATGTGTGTATGAGGGTCATGGCATGGATGTGGGGTAGGAAGGATAGTTGAGGGTCAAACAAGATGCCAAGGTTCCGGACTGGCCCAGTGAGGTGGAGTGTGCATCCTTGGATGGTGATGCCTGAGGTGAGGAGGCGCTGACAGGAGCCAATCAGGAGGGCCTCAGTCTTGTTGATGTTCAACTGAAGGAAGTTAGCTCTCATCCAGGACTTGATGTCTGACAGACATTCTGTCAGGACAGCAGTATTCCTGGAGTCGAGAGTGGAGGCAGAGAGATAGAGTTGGGTGTCATCCACATACATGTGGAAATTGACCCTATATCTGCAGATATGTCAGCAAGAGGGAGCATGCAGATATTAGAGGTGGGGACCAAGTACGGAGCCCTTAGGAATGCTGTACGAGACGTTTAGGCAAGTTTCCTTACTCCACACCACTCTGTGTATCTAGCAGTAAGTAGGAACCCTGTTAGTCGATTGGTGGTAATAATCCCTGCAAAAGAAAATGTGGTCATTCAATCCACGTCTGCTTGTGGGACACTGCTGTGTGAAATTTCACCCACAAAATAGACAGTCAATTAATTCACTTTACAATATATTCTGTGAAGCGTTTTGAGACGTCTCAACGACGCAATAAGGTGCTCTAATGAATGCTAGGATTATCATATTATTCATTTGTATGAATAGTCCTGAGCTCCCACTAAAAAGATTGGAAATGTTAACACTTCTGGGTGGAAACTGGTTAATAGGAGTGACAGGAATTTGTCACATCGTTCAACTGAAATGAGAATACAGATTACAGAATACAAGGGTAGCCTTCTGGCATCTACTTTCTGAGAACATTTTCTTTGTTTTGTTAGTCAAATGCAATGCTGGTTTGATCCAAGTGATCAGACAAATGTATTATTTTTTTCTGGCATTAATCCAACTGGATTGGGTGGCAGGAAGGTGTATTTTTTACTAATCTCACCGCTTTGAAGTGAAGAGTGTAATAAAATCTTTCTAATCCACATAGCCCAGTGACAGACACTACTTACTGGTCTTTAGCGA